GGGCAACCATTGGGAGTTAGTTATCCCCAAGCGTGGTCTCATCCCTATCCCCCCTCTGTCATTCCAATTGCGCACGCGCCTGGAAAATGTGTCCATGGCTCAATGGTTGACTGCTATTCAACCTAATATAGACCTATACAACCAGCTTATTCACCCATGAACGCTTCATATCTCATTATATTTATACTTTATGAAATCTATTGTGAATAACCCATCCCCACAGATAGACAAGCAAGTCATTATCCACATTGCCCGGAGTCCCAAGTCTCCGCTCATTCGGTCCCCAATGAGAGAAACACAGAAAGCCATTCCTTGATAGGGCCTCATCGTGAGTTGTATCCCTACTACTAATTGTGCCCCCATCAAAACCACAATTGTATGTCAATTGTAGTACTATTCAGTGCACACTCATTTGAGCAATCATATTATCCAAATAGAAAGGGAAACCAGGAGACTAATCATGGGTTAAATCCAAGGGAAATAAAACGTGTTCACAGAAGCTCATCATTCGTTACAAAGCTCCTTGTGACTATGTTTTGATCATATATAATATCATTATGTCAGAGAGGAAACAAGTACACAACACATATCAGGAACCAAAGTCAAGGGATTTTCAATGCAATTAATCAACTGCAAAACGCTTCTCAGCCAAAGCAATTTCTATGTCTTGTGCAAACATGTGTGTTATCACATGTGTTGCAAACTCATGGTAGAACGCCTCGTGCACGTCCTTCCAATTCACCTGTGGGACCCCTTCGTCGTTGAGATTTGTGAAACCCATCCTGATGAGAAATTTCAAGAAATAAAGCCGAAGGTTGTCCAAAATTGCGTGAGGCATCGGGGCCGTGATTCCGTGATCGACTTTTTGTTTGAGCAGACTTGCACCAACCTCCAACAAAGAAAGAGCATTCGAAAGAGTAACGTGAGGGCCCGTGCGATAAGCGGTGAAGGCTGCAGTGGGACCAAAAATCATGAGGTTCGCAAGCATCTGGACATGTTGAAGGTGGTGCTTGGTGCGGTACACATTAATTTTTGTCTGCTTGGGTTTTGCAATGCAGCCACCAGAAAGGTAGGCCAAACCGGCCAGAGCACCGATGAAATACTGGATTAACGACATCACGCCAGGTTCCGATGCTGAGTTGTCGCCCAACTTCCCACCCATGTTCTCGTACGCGTCGCAGAGATGGGTGTAGGCCGTATACACGTTGTTACTATTGTCGAAGGCCTGAGGGATCCAAGTGTCTTTCATCTGTGTCATCTTTTGCATAGCCCAAGTCTGTTGTAATGCTGCTCGCAGTCGAATATATGCCGATCTCCCAGGGGCAAAAAAGCTGGCCAAGTGCGGTAGTAGCGTGTGATTGCCGGTTAACCTTTCTGTCAGTTGGAAAGTTTTGATTTGTTCCATATCAACCATGTCGGACGTGATTAGAGACAAATTCCCCGCAGTCTTGAGTATATCCTCTGAAGAAAAAAGTCACAGACATTCATTATGGATCCCCACAAACACCCTGCCACATGAATTTCACATACCTGTTTCACAAGCCTTGGATGTCCGATCTATGTCCATCCAAATCCGCTGACTCCATTCTTTAGGGATCGCGTCGTGTGCAGAAATCAGGGGAGGCAAATGCTCGAGTATATACTTGATATTCGAAAGGGAGGATTGAGCCGATTGGTGTGTCCATTTGATACCACCGGAAAGCTCATTGTTCCATCGATTGACCTCCTGTGATGGCAAAACTAAACCAGGGACAAAGAGTTCCACAGCTACGGAACCATACACACCAAAATCAGGACATGAAAACAGATGAATCATCCATTTAGAAGCACTTACAAGGAGCACGTGCGGACTGAGTCCCACGAGGTGCTTCACCACCTGCCCCCCTTCTACTTGGCCCACTGGCAGGCTGCTTGCTCCCCCCCTGCGTTGGGTTCCGAGGAAAGTTCATCTTGCTCAACAAATCCCACGAAGCAAAATCGTCCAACAAAGGGTGAACGCGCGGGCCGGTGTCACCGTGTGGGCCTTGCCTGAATGGGGCAGGGCGACCAATTCCATGGTCGAGAACGTCTGGAACCGGGCGAGTTTGTTCTTTTGAGACGTATTCTTCATCGGTAGAACCCTCTGCGTCCGTGTTGCCTTCAGAGTCTTCAATCCTAGTTCTAGTAGAATGCCTGGGAGCTCCTTCCACATCGCCATTGTCATCAGAGTCGTCAATCCTCGTCTTTTTGGCACGCGCAGTGTCGTTATCTTCAACACCCTCTAGTCTAACATTGTCAAAGCGGTACTTTGGGCGCCTCTCTTGTCGCTCGTGAATGACCTCTCGACACTGTGTCTGGTGTTTCGGTGGGGCTGGCAGCACTTGTTTATTGATCGAAGGGGTGGGCACCGGTGGGGCCGGATTATTCTGAGGAGGTAGCTGTTCCTTGTTGACTGAGGCCATAATTGAATCGTATAATTGATCCCCTTCAGCTGTCAAGAAAGAGGTCTCTCCATTGGCATTCTTTTGGCAAGGCGAGTCATCAGAGATGTATGCATAGGCCGGGTTGAGCACGTTTGGTAAGCCATTGTCAACAACCGATGGGGGATCAACCCTTGAGAAATTGGCAAACGAGGGACATGCAGTGCGAGGGGGGCCGATTGGATTGGGCAATGCAAAATAATCGCCCTCCCGATGGATGTCACGGGTCGGTGTTGGACAATTGAAGTTGGGACGGGTTGGCAAGGACAAATCCACAGGGGGTCGATCAGAGGGTGTCGTGGATCGAAGGGAGTGATCTGGAGCATGAAGCCTTGTTGCATCATCTCTGATGTGATTAGCCGCACCAGCACCAGCCAAATTGTCTGCCGAGATGGGTGGAACCTTGGCAATGTCTCTACTTTCGAGCTCTTCATCACCCTCGTCATCCGAATTCTCAATATCTGCCTTGATAAGTGCCAAGAGGGATTTCACGTGCGCCTGCTCTTTAGGTTTCAATGCCGGGTGACTATCCAGCTCCTGCGCCTTCATGTAGAGGTCCAAACCTATGGAAACAGATAATGCAAAGTGTGTTAGCTGGGGTGGATGACCAGTGGGCCACATTCAAGTGAAACATGAATCTTACGTGATTGATCATTCCCGGTTGACATATCCAGGTTGAGGGTGGGGGTTGATGAAATTAGAGGTGGCGGTCGGCTGGTCTGAAAAGGTAATCAAACAAACATGTCAGATTTTTCCCAAAATTGCAGGCACATTGGGTGGTTACGCCTGGGGTCGACTGAGAGTAGTGGGGGCAAATGGGGGCCCTTCAGTTGCATAGGGCCTTGGGCCTCTCCACATGGCTGGATATCTGGCCAGGGGGGGGGGGAATTGGCCCATTTGGTGGCTCTTAGGTTCCTGGGGGACCCCCTTGGGCCCCCCCTGTCGGGCGGAGATCTTGCAACCAGGCCTTGGGCCCCCCAGGAGGGCAAGATACATTGCAACCAGGCTGAATTAGGCCCCTCTAGGGGGCTTGAGCCCCCCCAAAAAAAAAACCTAAAAACCTAAAATTTGACCCCTTTAGGGGGATGGAAACCCAAAAAAAAAATTAATCCTTACAATTTTTTACCCCAGGTACCAATTTTTGGGTGCCGGATCGGATCGGATTGGTTCGGATCGGTTCGGATCAGCTTGAAATCTGGCGTGCGTGGATTCTCCTGCTTCGAACGGGTTTCGGGGGGTCTGGGGTCCGGTCGGGTCGGTCGGCGGGTGGGATAGGGCGCGTGGGGTCCGGCGGGGTCTCGTATGCGATTCGGTCGGTCGGTGGAGTGAGGTGGTGGTTAAAGGAAGGATTGGATGGGGGGAGGGGAGGAATGGGAGGTGAGGAACCCAGCAGGCGGGGCTGCACCCGAACCCCGCCCCCGGGGGGATGAGTCAGCGTGTAGGACCCAGGCTGGGTTCCTACCCCGGATATTCAAGGCCGCCGCTCAGGTTTTACCCTTGA